GCTCCTCACTCTCTGGGTGCTCAGCAAATCGGTGTTTGTTTAAAGAGATGTGTGACAAAGAGAAACCCAAAGCTCTGGGCACCACGTGGAGATTTCATAGGTGGGTTTTTTTCATCCACCTGCAAGAAGTTATTTGTGAAAGAACAAAACCATCTTTCACTTGGAGGATCGTGGGCAAGATTAGAATCGATGCAGAGGGTGAACTAAACATGGAAATGAGCCTAAAGCAGAAAGAGAAGCAGAAAGATATCACATAGTTTGGATGGGCTTAAAACCAAGAGGCTGTGGCTGGTTCCCACCCTGGTGTAGGTCAGTGGGATGCAATCCAAGTCAGTTTACACTCCTGGATCTGGTCTAAAAGATCTGAAAGGGTTTTTTTCCTCGTTGATTTTTCCCCTCTGTGAGTGGCCCTCGGGCACTCAGGTCGTGGCAGGACTCAGTCACGATAGTTGCCAAGAAAATAGAGACAACACTAGAGGGAAGCAAAAGACTTGGAGTGCAGCAATCTGCTTTCCAACCTCCCGGGCAAAACTCCCCAGGGCTTCACTGCCTCTGGACTTAAATAAATCTAGGGGGTGATGGCAGAGAGTGTGACATTCCCAAAACCCTCGTAAGTGTATTGTGGAGGGATATTGCCCTCTAGGTTGCATGGGAAGAGAAACGATAAGGATGGAGCACAACATTCACGTTGGTTTCCATCACTTCCATTCACACCTCATCCATGAGTTTGTTGGGTTGATCCCAGCTCTTACACAGCATGACTATTTTCTTTCCTCTGGTTTTCCTACTTTTTCTTAGCAGCTGCAGCTTTCAAAGAAAGGAGAGTCACACTTGAACAGTTTCCCTGCAGGAAGTGTCTGCAGAGCAGCTGATGTGCCCAGGGCCACATATAGACCTCTAGGAACTGGAGATTTTTGCTTAGGAATGTCTAATCAGGTCTTTATTCTACTTCTCTCCCATCCCCAGTGTTCCTTCTTCCCCTCAGAAGTTTGTTCTGGTAATGACTTACAAGTCCCTTTCCACTGCTAAGACTCTTCCCAGACAGGAAAGAAACAGGGACAGCCTGGACTTCATTTCAGACAACTGGGAGACATTTCATTTCAGTGGTGTGCAAAGCAGGTCCTGTGCTGGATAAATTAGCTTTTCCTTGTTCCCAGCTGCATCCTAGAAAAGCAGATCCTACAGAGCCAGAGAAAAGGTGACAAGATGCCCCAGTGATAAATAACCAGTGCCTGGACTGGAGTCTGCCAGCAGAGACCAGTAAAGTCATACAGAAAGGGTATTAGGGTGGTGATTTACCCTAGTGAGGAGCTATGGGATGGCAGGAGAGTGGATGTAGTAAGATTTCCAACCAGGTAAGAGAGAAGATAATACTTTCACCATAGCTAGACAAAGCTGCTCAATCATCTTAGTTTGCTAAACACACTTTTTTGCCACTTTTCAGTGTCATATCCTGCTTTGATCCTTCAAATCCTTGTACCTGCACTGTCCATCCAAGCAGCAGCACAAGCTGTTTCCATCAGTGTCCCTGGAAGAACTCTGCTGTGCCAGCTGGGATACTACTCAAGAGGGTGGAAGGCCTCCAAGAGCAGAATGTGCAGCAGGAACTCTGCAAGGTGTTAGTTCTGCAAGGAAAAGAGGAATTTGGGCTGGAAGTACAATCTATATTCCAGCAGGATATGTTATCTTCCCTTTTGGACCTGCAAAATGAAATGCTATGAAAGAGCTGCCAACCTTCACCTCTGATGGATGGTCTGAACTCCACCTACAGCTGCAGAGCTGTTCATTATACAACACTTCTGGAGAGCTGAAGTGTCTCTGTGGGCCCCATGACTCTGACAAATAATGATGTCCCATGTGGAAACTGTGCTGAAATCACTGGAATAACTTCTTGAATCCAATCTGCACTTTGTCAAGCACTTTAGGATGCTCCAGGATGAAACACAGTGCACAGCTATTGGGAAGAATTAGCTAATGCTGGCTGAGAGCTTAGAGAATATCTCCAAAGAGCAACAAATGGAGTCAACCTTACCTGGAAACTCCATTCCATTCTCCTTTAGCTCTTGAACGTTAGGAGAGTTACACAGCAAAGGCAAACGGTGAAATAACAATAATAACGAAGATTAATTCTGTTGCAGCAAGGCAAAAACTAAGCTTTGTGGAGGAAGCTCAGTCTGGAGAGGAAGAAGAGTGTGCACAGAGCTGAAAAGAGCTCTAGTCTCAGTTTCAACCCCCTTTAAGGTCACTGCCATAAACCCTTTCCTTGTGCCACACCAGGGGCTCACAGTTCATCTCTACCCTAAAAGATTCTCTGATTCCTGTGCCCTCCTAGAGCTGAAGGACTCCCTGAGCAGTAACTGCTGTATAAATATTAGGGATGATTGATATTTTACCTCACTGAACATAAAATGCAGAGCTCAGGAAACCAAGGACACTGTGAGGAGGCAAAGCCCAGGGACAGGTAAGGAAGTGTATCAAGGTGCAGCATTTCCAGTGGAACAGGGAGAACATTCCTTTAGCTAACTAACTCAAGCAAAGCACATTTACACAAGTGCTACACACATTAAAAAGTGTTTCTCCACGAGACACAAGGCACTGTCCCATGGGAAAGGAAGGCTGAGATGAGAGAAAGAGAGAAAAAACCAACCTGTGTGCAGCTGCAGGGAACCTGTGGCAGGGTGGGAGCAGAGAGCTGGGATCCTGCCCCAGCCAGTGGGGCAATTCATTTAGTTTCATTCATTTAATTGCTAATTGAACCTTCTAATTGAACCTCTAATTGCAAACTGAACCTTCTAATCAGCTGCATAGCTTCACACCAATGCCAAAGACTGACAGAATGCAAAGTGCAATGTAAAGGCCCTAAATGTTTCTCCCCAGTATTTAAGGGCAAACAGTCTTTGGTAATTGCTCTGTATTAAGAAATAAACAACAAACCTCTTCAGTTTAGCATTCAGTTGGGGCTTTTTTTTTTTCTGGTTTTTCAACAGTTTGCAAACACAGCTGGTTCTCCAGCAATCCCACCTGGGTCTCTTCCAGCCAGAATTTAGCATACTAAATTATATCCTGGCTGGTTTTGAAAGCCACTGTTGTGATCAGCAGGCAAATCACACCACATGTGCCTCTCCTGCAGGAAAGGGCCATAATCTCCCCTTGGGCTCCCATCCTGATCAGTCCAGGGTTCTACTGGTGTGTCTGACCATCACCCAAATTCCACCCAGTGATCAAAGTAAGGGATGAGGAGCTCCTAAAGCTCTTCCTAGTGCTTGTTTCAGGGAACATATTAATTTTTCTCCCCCCTTAAGCTATTTTGCAGCCTAGAAGTCCCAATAAAATATTGAAATGCCCCTGGAGTTTCTGAGTAACCTGACTTTGAGCTGGAGCCTGTGTGAGCTGTGCTCAGCAATTGGAACTGGCAAGGAAAAACCTCCAACCTTTGACTCACAGACATGAAAGGGAGGGAGAGAGACATTAATGACAACGACTTGAGACTCTGCCACCCTGATGGGATA